GAGAGAGAGAGAGAGAGAGAGAGAGAGTATGTGTGCGATCGTGTGAGTGTGCGTGCGTGAATGTGTGTATAATATGTGTTTATGTGTAGATGATTCTAATGATGATGATTTACCAACATAAAGAATACGTGGCAACATTACTCACACAGAGACAGACGCACGCGCCAGGTCATAACACGCACGTGCCCTCTACTCTGTGTGTTACCTAAGAGCATTTAGGCTCAGTTTTTTGAGTAACAGTTTTCACGGCACTCGCAACACAAATAGGTCGTTACATAAGTGCAAAAGATTAGAGGTGTTTCAAGATAGTAACACATACAAAAAGAAGGGGGATAGAAATAAGAAGGACGATAGATGTTTGATAGGAAAGAAGGAGCAAATCAAACCAGAACACCCGCCAACCACCCACACGGGTGACTGCGCTGTAGTGTGTAGTGTGTTGTGTTTAATGTGTAGTGTGTAGTGTGTAGTATGTTGTGCGTAGAGTGTAGTGTGTAGAGTGTAGTGTGTAGTATGTAGAGTGTAGTGTGTAGTGTGTAGAGTGTAGTGTGTAGAGTGTAGTGTGTAGTGTGTAGAGTGTAGTGTGGAGTGTGTAGAGAGTAGTGTATAGTGTATAGTGTGTAGAGTGTAGTGTGTAGTGTGTAGAGTGTAGTGTGTAGAGTGTAGAGTATAGTGTGTAGAGTGTAGAGCGTAGTGTGTAGTGTGTAGAGTGTGGTGTGTAGATTGTAGAGTGTAGTGTGTAGTGTGAAGTGTGTTGTGTGTAGTGTGTAGTGTGTTGTGTGTAGAGTGTAGTGTGTAGTGTGAAGTGTGTTGTGTGTAGTGTGTAGTGTGTTGTGTGTTGTGCGTAGAGTGTAGAGTGTAGAGTGTAGTGTGTAGAGTGTAGAGTGTAATGTGGAGTGTGTAGTGTGTTGAGCAAACCACACCAGAACACCCGCCAGCCACCCACAGAAACACAGAAAGAGAGAGAAAAAGAGATAGAGAAAGAGAGGGAAAGAGCGAGAGAGAGAGAGAGAGCAGAGAGAGACAGAGAGAGAAAAGACGGGACAGAGAGGAACAAGGGAAGAAGTAGTACGACAGACAGAGCGGGCAGAGAGAGAGAGAGAGAGAGAGAGAGAGAGAGAGAGAGAGAGAGAGGGGAGAGAGAGAGAGAGAGAGAGAGAGAGAGAGAGAGAGAGAGAGAGAGAGAGAGAAGACGGGACAGAGAGAGAAGACGGGACAGAGAGAGAAGACGGGACAGAGAGGAACAAGGGAAGAAGTCAGTACCAGACAGAGCGGGCCGAGAGAACACTTTAGTCTGGTGTCTAGACGGGGCAAAGTCTCCAAGACCTGGGGATACGTACACTGGTGGTTATAC